CACAAACTACTTTTCCCTTCAACGTTGTCCCTCATCTAGGATTGTTGTGATACACTACACTAACTTGCTATTGAGTTCGTCATTATGAGTTTGACTAATATATCTTAAATTCTAAGACGGGATAAATTGCTCAAGTATAGCAGATACCTGTAGGACTTAGAGAAAATCCTAAGGTCAGAAACTCCAATGTGTAGAATCAGCTGTCGCAGCCTTTCAACTTAAACGTTAAAAATAACAAAAACGAACCCGGTGACAATGTTAACTTAATACCACAAGGAGGTTCAAGTTCTCCAAGACCGGAAAATCAACAACAAGGTATATTTTCTATTTATTTATTATTAATTATTTGTATTTTTTTTATTTACTTTTCAAGTATAAGGCTTAAACATTTTCTATATACAATTCTTTGATAATCTAAGAATATCATATCAATTCTTCAACAGTGATAATTAATAATTTATCAAAACAGTTTACAAATTCAAAAGACATAATTTATATCGCAAAAGGCGTAGCTTTGTCAAAGAAAAACAACTGGATTGCTCCTTTTGGTATATACAAGGTAACTTGCCATGTTTGTTCTTATTATGGTCATACGTTTAGGTTATGTCAGAATATTGAAATATCATATTTAGGTTCCCGCGTTAAATGTTAGTGCATTGGCCATGATGCGTGATTTTAAAAGTTATTCTGGTGTAACATATCCTTGCTTAAATGGGGGGTTCACAAATACTGCTTCTACAATCTTTTTTGGGAGAGTCGAAGATATATACATATAATTTTCTTTATACAGTCAACCCTCTCTAAATGCACACTCTCTAATTGCACACACTATATATTTTCTCTTTAAATGCACGCTCTCATTCAGTCCCAAGCATATAGAATTCATAGAAATTTTCTCATTAAATGCACACCCTCTTTTTTTAAAATTTTCACTATGGTCCCAAGGGGGTGCATTTAGAGAGGGTTGACTGTAATTCACATTCCTTTCTGGTAATAAGAGCAAAATAAATACTGGAATTGCTGGGCCAGCAAAGTATTTTTTTTTTTTACTTTTATTATCCTCTCAAAATATTTTAATTATATAAATTCTTTTCTTTCTCAAGCAAAAGCAGAATTGCTGGGCCAGCAAAATTTTTTTTTCGCTTTTGTTATTAATTTTTAAGATAATTTGATTTTCTTAATTAAAAAACATATTAGATAATTTGCTTGCTTGTTGGTTTGAACATATGGGCGGATTTGTTTAAATAAAATTTTTAAAATAAATCGCACTCAAAATATTGCTGTAATATCAAAAATCAGCTGATTATTTAATTGATTAGCCGGGATAAAAAATTTTCACACAATAAAATGAAAATAAAAAATGATTTGAAAAGTTTTATTATGTTTGCAATTGTATTTTTTATCATGAGCACGATCCCAAAAAGATACACTCGATTAATAGCAATTAAAAAAGCGTTAGGTTTTTTTGATCCCAATGTAACTTATTTACATGAGATCATGATCATAATGTATTTGAGTGAGCAAATAATGGGCATATGATTTGACGATAAGTTTAACCTTTGAAACGTGTGTTTATTAATTGTGATATAAAAAAAAAAGCGGCAATATAAATAAATAAAATTCTTCTAATTTCAATATTTAATTAATATTTGCGCGTGCACAAATAAATATTTTATCTTTAAATACTACGCACGCTTTGATTATCGTAGCTTTTTATTTTTATTAAAATAATAATCATCTTCTACCTCTTTTTCTATCTCTTGAACGTGATCTCGACCTTGATCGGTAACGACCACGATCTCTTTCCCTATCTCTTCTCTCGTACTTCTCATGCCTCTCATATCTTCCACGATCTCTATCTGACCTTCCTCTAGATGGTGGACTTGTAAATCGAGACCTCTTTCTTCTTCCTCTATCATCCCGATCCCTATCTTGATCCCTATCTTGATCTCGATCCCGATCCTTATCCTGATCCTGATCCCGATCCCTATCCTTTTCCTTTTCCTTTTCCCGATAAGGAGAAAGTGAAGAAGGATTGTCTTCTATTACATTCTTTTGTTTTTCATTATTATAATTGTCTGTATGATCAAACACGAGATCATATTTATCGACAGGTTCATCATCTCCTGCTCGATATTTTGTCCGTTTCTCCAAACTCATAGATCCTCCATAACCTCCACCACTTTTTTTCATTTTTGAGCTTAACCAATCTTTATGAAGCTTTGAAACAGATTGAGAAAAATCTACTTTAATTCTTCTATCATCAATTAAAACGTTATTCATTTTAAAATAAGCGGTTTCACAATCTTCCTTATTGTCAAATTCAATAAATGCGTAACCTAAAGAATCACCAGATTTTTTATCCCGTATAATTTCACAACTATTAATAGTACCAAATCTTGAAAAAATTAATTCTAAATCCTCATCTCTCGTCACTTGATTTAATTTACATACAAATAAAACATTTTCCGGCGGTTTCACTTCAGCAAAAGGTATATCGCCAATCATTTCTAATGTTAATGCTTGTGCTTGAGCTTCTCGATGCCTTTTTATTTTCTCCATTTCTTCAGGCGGTAATTCAGGTTCGATGCTTTCATCTTCTCCTATTCTCACGGTTTCTAACATTTCTTTCGTCGGTGAAGGACTTTTATCAGGTACTTGAAGACCATCAGGATCAGGAAATGGATCTTCAAGTATATGAGTATGTTTGATTCGAATATCTTTATATGGTCTTCCAATTTCATCACAATACATATTATTAATCTTTTCTAGAGTATCAAATCCTTCCGCTACTTCTCCAAATACTGTATATTTACCATCTAAATAATCTAAATTTTCTCCCGTCGTAATAAAGAATTGTGATCCACTAACCCCTCCTTTACCTTCCGCTCCATCACTTGCCACCGCCATTGAAACTGTACCCAATTTTTTATGCTTTAATTTCGATCTTATCTCTGCCGGAAAATATTTTTTCGTCGGTCCATATAAGATACCAAATATTGACTCTCCTCCCATACCGGTCGCTGTTGGATCTCCCGTTTGTACCATAAAATCTTTTTGAACATTATGAAAACAACAGAAATTATAATATTTAATTTTACATAATTTTAAAAAATTTAAACATGTATTTGGACAGAGTTTTGTGTGAAGATCTATAACTATATCACCAACTGAAGTTTCAATATAAACGCTCACTAAAGTAAAAAAGAAAATTATAAATTGGTTAGCATAAAACCGTTTATTAAGAAAGGAAAAACAGATCTAGAATATTTTGTCATACTTTTTATTTGTTTGTCAAATTAAAAAAAAAAAAATAGATCTCGGACAATAATCCAAAAATTTTTTGACAATGTTCTGTTTTATTGATCGACAACATTTTGCCAAATTGGTATTAGAACAAAACTTTATACCATCAACAAAAATATAATATTAGAACAGATAACAAAAAATGCCCTTACTTCGGCACTGAAATTAAAGGAATTAATGATTAGTTTGTCCTTATGGTTTGAATTCTACCATATCATACTAGATGTTCTTATCCTCAAGAAATATTCAAAAGTTGCATTTCAAAATTAGAAGTTGTATCTTAAATTATATAATATATGATAACATTAAATTGAGGACAAAAATGCTCTTTACTTTCAATCATTTCGACTCTAATTCAACAACAAACAATGTTTCTTAACATTCTCCTGATTTATAAATCACAATTTTAAAAGAAATATATGCAGAGATTATAATAAAAGAGTAAATTTTTGATTAAATATAAATATATTATAAAGAAATGTTTAAATCCTTAATTTTATTAGTTCATAAAACAAAATATACTTTAAAGTTAAAAGTATTCAACGATTTAAAGTCTGTTTAGATCAAATAAATCCAAGAGATCAATACCTTGCCCTTTAATCGCTTCAATAAATTGAATTCCTCATTATTCCATCCTTTTTTATTAACATAACTAGCAACAAATAATTTCTTCAATTTCGTTTAAGATAATCATCTTGAATATCATAATATTTATAACAAAAGTAACTAAAGGAGCATTACAATTCTCTAAAAGTATAGACTTGAGAAACTTTCTTCAAGTTATAAACATAATGTGATTAAATTTGGACACGAAACTGATAGAGCTTCAACGATCTCAAGGAAATTTGAGATATTTCTAATGTCTCCAAAGTTTCTCCTGCGACTTTACTTAATATGCCAGCTGTTGATAATTAGAATCCATGCAACATCCTTGATTTTCAATTCAAAAGAAGCTATTTCCAACACTTCACATATTTAAACCATAAAATCGAAGTGATTCCAATGCTGTAAGTTCAAATACTCGTCAAAAGAGAAATGACGAAAGGATACCTGAACAAATTCTACTAAAATCAAACTGTTGGCTTGAGCTTCTAAAACTAAAATAATTTTCTTTAATCCGCAATTTCTTCTGAAAAATACATTATTCCAAAATGGCAGACTTTGTTGAACTTAATCAAAAGGTCGGAAAAGAACATGATCATTAGATTCTTCAAGCTTCAAATACAATTCATCAAGCCCGGTACAATTTCTTACAAGTGCAGATAATAAATCAAATGTTGAAATAGTGTCTTGCATAGCATCGATATTCGTCAACAAATCCAAGCAAATGTTTCCAAGTTTGGGTTCTTTGAAAATAACTCGTTAAGAAATTCTTTGCTGATAAACATTGAACTACATAAATCAGGAACATACCATAAAGTTGATAGCTTAACTTCTTGTCGAAGAATCAAATGAACGATTGATACAAATAATACATGTTTTATATCTTCCATATCCTTGTATAAACGATTTTGCAAATTACTTGATTTCTCCATAGATGCAAATTTATACCACATGGTAACTTCATCATCTAATTCATCACTTTCCAATACTTCCAAATACTTTGGATATTCGAAAAATACAGGTTTCCCGAATTCAATATTAATCCATGTACTTACATGTGATTTCTCTTCCTCATTCATACATGAGAGATATGTTCTAACGATCAATCCTTTCTAAATCCTGGTTTAAACATGGATTTTTCCAGAGAAATAGTGTTGCACTTTTACACCAGAATCGATTAACCAACACACAGCCATAAATTATATTGCTATCATACTTTTTTTATCAATACAGTTATCTGTCAAATGTGAGGCTGTCATGATAATGCGTGATGTTAATTTAACTTCGTATAAAAAAATTTTCCTTTAATGATGATCCATGGATAAACTGCGCCCCTTCGTAAATACGTATTTATATGTTAGATCGTGTTTTTTTAAAAAAATTTTTTGATCTATTTCAAATTTATTTTGTTTTTTAATATTTGGAAACAACAATTATTTCGTAAGGTTTAAAATTTTTTTTTTAGTAAGGTGTTTAAAACGAAATAAGTATCTTTTTAACCTGCAAAAGCAAAAAAAGAAATTCTGTTTCGCTTTCAATTTGACATTACATCTGGATCATGACAGAAGCTGTGATTAACAACCTTTCTCCAGCAATAAACACATCTGGGTTCTTTTTGATTTCAAAAAATCAAGAGGATTATGATAACTTTCTTAAACAATATTCTTTTGTACTTTATGGCTTTGAGGAAGATTCTTCTTCACCCAAGTGTCTTTTTCAATCTGATGATGAGAAACCATCAGAAATTCCAGATACGGTCACTAAACTTGATGCGAAATCACCATCTGACTCAACGTTTCAGAATGTCATCGAAAATCGAAAGGTATCACCTGCGTGTAAACCTGCACTAAATATGGGAGAGCTACATTTGAATTTTACTGCGGATCATTCTGATACGAAGACGATAATATCAAGAAACATCGAAAATGGTGACAGCTCAAATACGACTTGTGGACATCCTAAACATGTTAAATATTTGGAATCCGGTTTGATTAATGGAAATTCTGCCTTAATTAAAATTCCGAGACGTCTTGCTCAAATTGTTGATGTTTATCATAAAACGTTAATTTGTAAACAATGTTTTAAGCAAACTGATAATGATCCGGAGGTAATCAAAATTTTTTTTGCATTTTATTTTATTTTTTTTTTATCCTAAATTAAATAATCTTTTATAATAATCAGTATACTACACATCCACAATATGAATCTCCAAGGACCATTCGTAAGCAAAGAGAATTGAAGAATCTTAATATCACTATTGTTGGTTATGATTAGCCCTGAGAATTGGTTTATATTGAACATTACCTATTTTTTGTTTTTTTCTTACCAAACTTTCTGCATTAATAAAAACTTAATAGTTTGTTTTTAATAATTATCCGAGAGCATTAACTCGGAATTTAATATAAAGCATAGACAGAACAGTAAAAAAATACCTATTTATTTTTTTCGTTTTTGTCAACTAAAACTTTCCTTCCGTTAACATAACACGAGCAATGTTGTTTAATTTTAGATAACAACCTTTCTGGGATGTATAAAAAAAAAAAGGAAAGAAACCGCTATGGGCTCAAAGAGATTATCAAGGAAGAACAAAACTTTAACGATCTTTCATTAAAGCTGTGGAAATTTGATATCTGCAGAAATTAATCAAATCTTTACTAACTATTATATTTAATGTCTTGCAGGCTTAGAAATGAAGATACTGATGATATCGATATTTTTCATCTCCTTTTCAATAGTAACGAAAAGAATATAAAGTACATATTATCGTCGAATCATGATTCTTAGCGGGAGTGACATTGGTTTAGGTCATATTATTTACGTATAAAGGTTTTAAAATTGTGGTATATGAATTAAAATTTAGCTCATTTAAAGAATTCATTCGACAAATACTATCTTGCAACACAAAAAGATCCTCTCAAATGGTTTTGATAGATTTACTTTTATGAATTAGAGGCATGAAATTGGTTTGTCCATGTGATAATCAGAAACGTGATTATTTAGTAATGGTTAAATAACGATTTATGATTGGATGCATTTAATTTTGGTTTTTCCTTTTTTTTAGACGATTCAGTTGAAATTCCAATTTCATTTTTTACAAGGTTCGATTTGGAATTGACAGAGGTAAAGTTGTGTTTGTGCGGTGATAGCTTTTATTTTGATTTTCCATTTCCTTATGTTATCGAATTTTTATTGATTTATTTTGTTTGATTTTTGTTATGAACACCGAGTTAAATGCACCTTCGATTTATTTTTCGTACACATTGATCTTTAAATAATTCTTTAAAATTAATCTGTGTTTCATTATTATATCTAAAATTAACACCACTATCCAATAAGTATCGAAGAGTTTTGTAATGTATTATAACGTTATATAAAATTTATTTCAATGATTTTTTATTTGAATGTAAAATAATATCTTTAAAAAAATGATGAATGATCTCTTTTATAGGTACTGCAGCATTTACAAGTATTGCAAAATTCTGAATTTGCACATCAAAATAATGAATAATATGAAAATTAGGAAGTCTTGTAATTGATGAAAAATCTAAATTTTGTAAAAAATATTTTGATAAATAATATAATTACAATAAAGTTTAATTTATTACCTTTATTACCTTTGCAACTAAGTCCGTCCATAAATAATACAATCTCTTAATTTATTAAGATTTGAATTCATCAATTATTTTTTTAATGTTAGAAATATTAACTTAGTAAATAATACCCAAAGATTTTGTAATTGATCAATCACTTAATTTTTTTATAAGAGATTACAAGATATAATTACATTATTAATAAAAGTGTCTTTTAATAATAAAATATTATTTATTGTATGATCAATCAAAAAAGGCATTATCATTACAAGATGTAAATAATCTGAAAAATAATAACAATAAGAGTTGAGATGAGTAAGAGAATTTTATTATTGAGACCATGAATTTGAAAATTCAAAGCATTTTCAAATAATTAAATATAATTCTTCTCTTTTAGATGTTAAAATTAAAAATATTGTTTGTAACATTTAAATTAATAAACCTTCCTCCAAGCAGTAGAACGTATCATGAGAATATTACAAATATCTTTTATATAGTTTATCCTAAATATCATATTTTGTTAAAAGTGAATCACATTCTATTTGTATTCTGATATTATTTAATTCATTAAATTGTAAAATAGTAATGTAATAATACTATTCATAATTAGCAATATTAAAGTAATATTATATAAATTATTATGATATATCATACATATATAATATTTATAATATGTATTGTGATTTCTTACTTTTGATTGTTCATTACCTTCAGGCAAATCTGAGATAATATCACATAAACTACTTATTTTTTTATTATTTATATCCATTGCAAATCCATTTTTAAGTTCATTTATATCCTTAATTATAGGTTTCAAAATATTATGATATTCAAGATGATTATCTTAAACGAAATTGAAGAAATTATTTGTTGCTAGTTAT